AAAAAAAAAAAAAAAAAAAAAAAATTTGATCCTAGTAAGGATTCAAAGGGAGAGTAAGGTCTTCTGGGCTGATGAGTCAGGGAAAACGCTATGAAATAGGTGATGCTTGGAGGAGGCCATGAAGAAAAAAGAAAAATCTATTAGGGAGTATACTTTGGATCAACCTGTGTGGAGCGTAAAGGAAGCAGAATTTTGCAGAGAAAGTTATTGGGCTTCAATATCTTCAAAAAAGAAAAGGCCTTAGCCAATTCCATGGATTGACTATTCAGAGACAAGGCGGGGCAGGTCTTTATAGCCCCTCCCCTTGACCAGTCATTGGGTATAGAGAAAGGAATGTGAATTTTGGGTGAGGTGGTTCTCCTCCGCTGACGGCAATCCCCACAGAGGAACTCAAATGCAAGCCATCATCCACCAACACTCCCAGCAGCTGGGGGAGTGAGTGTCTCAGTCCGGAAAGGGTATTCTGGATGGCTCACCACTGTAGCCCACTGTAGGTTGTGTGCCCTGGGCAGTGAGCAGGTTGATCTAGCCAAACATGAGAGTGCAAAAGTTAGGAAAGAATGAGGTTGGAAAGTTGGGAGGGGTGGACGTTGAAGGCCCGACATTGTGTTTTATAAGTAAGGAGAAAGGGTCTTTTGTGTGAGGCAAGGTCATGGCTAGAAGCTGTAGCATCACAATGCATGGGGCCATCTAAGGGTGGGGAGAACCTAGAGAAAGGACTAATTTTTACCAGCTCCACTGTCAAGATGGAAAGTGGAAAGGGGACAAGTGAACAGGTAGCAGCGGCAATGGGAGGGAGGGGATGGAGATGGCAGAAGCACTGAGGACACACAGACGTTGCATGTTAACCATTTTCTACAAAAGACCTATGAGACTGAAAAAGAGACGATGCCTTACCATCGTCCACCATTCCATAGAATATTACCCTGCCTTTCAATGTGATATGGCTTGGATGTTTTTCCCCTCCAAATCTCATGTTGAAATGTGAACCTGCGGAGTGCAGTGGCTCACACCCATAATCCCAGCACTTTGGGAGGCCAAGGCAGGTGGATCACTTGAGCCCAGGAGTTTGAGGCCAGCTTAGGCAACATGGTGAAACCCTGTCTCTAAAAAATACAAAAAATTAGCTGGGCATGGTGGTGCACATCTGTAGTACCAGCTACTTGGGAGGCCAAGGCGCAAGGATCACTTAAACCCCAGGCGGCCAAGGCTGCAGTGGGCTGAGATCATGCCACTGCACTCCAGCCTGGCTGATTGAGTGAGACACTGTGATATGATTTGGCTCTGTGACCCCACCCAAATCTCATCTTGTAGCTCCCATAATTCCCACATGTTGTGGGAGGGACCCAGTGGGAGACAACTGAATGATGGGGGTGGATCTTTCCTGCGCTGTTCCGTGATAGTGAATGGATCTCACGAGATCTGTTGGTTTTAAAAACAGGAGTTGCCCTGCACAAACTCTCTTTTTATCTGCTGCCATCCACATAAGATGTGACTTGCTCCTTCTTGCCTTCCACCATGATTGTGAGGCCTCCCCAGCCATGTGGAACTGTAAGTCCAATAAACCTCTTTCTTTGGTAAATTGCCCAGCCTCGGGTGTGTCTTTATCAGCAGCGTGAAAATGGACTAATACATCCTGTCTCCAAAAACAAAAAAGAGAAGGGAAGAAAAAAAATGTGGTTCCCCCAGTGTTGGAGGCAGGGCCTGGTGGGGGATATTTGGGTCATGTGGGTAGATCTCTCACGAATGGCTTAGTGCCAGCTTCTTGGTAATCAGTGAGTTAATAGCTCAGTTACTTCACAGGAGATCTGGTTGTCTTAAAGAGTCTAGGACCTCCCCCTTCTCTTGTTTCCACTCTCACCATGTGACGTGCCTGCTCTTCCTTCACTTTTTGCCATGATTGTAAGCTTCCTAAGGCCCTCAGCAGAAGCAGCTGCCAGTGCTGTGCTTCATGTACAGCCTGCAGAGTAGTGAGCCAATTAAACGTCTTTTCTTTATAAGTTACCCAGCCTCAGCTATTTCTTTATAGCATGAAAAACAGACTAACACACAGTGGAAGTTCCATATAAGCAGGGATTTTTGTTGTTTTCCTAGCATTTAGAACAATACCTGGCAAATGGCAGGTGTTTGTACCAATCAGCTTTGGCTGGCATCATGCTGAGTTACAAAACTCCCAAACTCTCGGTGGCTTACAGCAGCAAACATTTATTTCTTGCTCATAGCTCTATAGTGAACGGTAGCAACTCTTGTCCAGGCTATGGGGTAGGTCCAGGTCTGCTCCATGTGTCTTTCTAAGCAAGGGACTCAGCTGAAGAACATGGGGGACATATAATTTTTTGGTGGACAGCAGGAGCCCAAGAAGGCTAGCAGAACTTGCCATGCTTCTGCAAGCTTCTGCTAGGACCTGGCACACTGTCCTTTCCACCACTTCCATTCTCTTGGCCTAAGCAACTCATATGAACAAGCTCCAAATAAATGGGGAAGCGAAATACACTCCTCCCCTGGGGAGCTGGGGAAGGAGAGTGAATATTTGCTGAGCCACGATAAAATCCACAATCTGCTCAATAAATATTTGTTGAATGACTGTATGAATAAAATCTACAGGTACTGATATGGGAAGATCCCTAACACATCTCATTAAGTGAAAAAAGCAAGTTGCAAAGCAGTATATACACTATGATCCAATTTATAAACACACATACCAAAAATAGAACCATACACTGATATATGCACATATTTTTTCATAAATGCATAGAGAAGGGGCTGGAAGTGGATGTGCAGTATAACTTCTGGAAAGAGAAGTAAGATTGGGTAGGAGTCAAAGAAAACGTTTGCTCTTTCATCATTTGAAAATTATTTTTTCAAAAAAGTATTTGTGCTTAACTTATATGGTTTTCTTTTTAACTACTGAAAAAGAAAGAAAGGAAGGAAGGAAGGAAGGAAGGAAGGAAGGAAGGAAGGAAGGAAGGAAGGAAGGAAGGAAGGAAGGGCAATGAGGCAATGTCCATCGTGAAGCTCCTCACGCAGTTCGAACTGGAAAAATGGCAAACGAGCAATTTGGAGGAAGGAAGTTAATGTCATAGTAAGAGTGACAAATTAATAACAAAATGTGCCCTAACTCTTATAATTGTTCTGCTCTGACATTTAAAAAACATTACAACCTTTATGGCAAGTGCCTTTATCTGGCTTTTGAAATGATTATGAAAATTACTTTGACAGTATCTTGCACTTACGTTGTGTAAAAAGGAACATTTATTTAACCCATGCCATATAATAGTAGATATTCAGTGTTCGTTATACTTAATAAGTAAAAACCCTAGCAAGTCTATTAATAGTTTACTTATTTCCAGTTCACATAGTAATATCAAGTCTTAATGAAAAATAATATTCTCTAAAGGACATTCTTTATCTTCAATATGCTGCAATATGCCATATTTTTTTAAATTGGACATTCCTTCAACTTTCCATCCCTTTCTCTAAAACCTAATGCCTTACCTGGATAGTCACAGATGTAAGCTTTCTGAAAGACTGAATCACTTTATCAAGTAACATCTTAAAACATTTTTCTAAGGCTGTGCTGGTGGTTACTTTTCATAGCTAATATCTCAGCAATCACACAAAGAATCAAAAAGTTTGATGGCTGAGGACTTGTGAAAGTGTCCAAACCAATCAGTCCCAAAACTCTCAATGATCACCCACACAATGTATCCAGACCATAGAACAAACACCAATTCTACTTCCTCCTCAAGAGAACAATAACAGGCCAGGCGCGGTAGCTCATGCCTATAATCCCAGCACTTTGGGAGGCTGAGGCAAGTGGATCACCTGAGGTCAGGAGTTCGAGACCAGCCTGGCCAACATGGCAAAATCCCGTCTCTACTAAAAATACAAAAATTAGCCAGGCATGGTGGCGGGAGCCTGTAATCCCAGCTACTCGAAAGGATGAGGCATGAGAATGGCTTGAACCTGGGAGACGGAGGTTGCAGTGAGACAAGATGGTGCCATTGCAACAGAGCAAGACTGTCTGAAAAAAAAGAAGGAAGGCAGGCCGGAAGGAAGGAAGGAAGGAGAGAAAAAGAAAGAAAGAAAGAGAGAAAGAAAGAAAGAGGGAAAGAGAGAAAGAGAGGAAGGAAGGAAGGAAGGAAGGAAGGAAGGAAGGAAGGA